CATAGTCCTGGACAGCTGTTTAGACTTTTCTCTTATATCTCCAGCCTATTTCTTGCCTTGACAACCCCATGAGGGGTTGCCATAAGTCAGCTGTGACTTGGTGGCACTTTCCACCAGGGCTCTTTTTGTAGAAAAAGCCCAGCAGGAACTCATTAGCATAATAGGCCACACCCAACATCAGAAACTCATTAGCATATTAGGCCACACCCCTGACAGCACAGCTCATTAGCACATTAGGCCGCACCCCCATGTTACCAGAAGTGTGGTTATCCAGCCACACCCACCTTTTGCTTGTTATTCTGTTTACCTTGTTTGTTGTCAAAACCCAGGGCTTTTTGCATGTTAGGCCACACACCCCTAATGTAGCCAATCCTAATGAGTTTCTGCTGTTGGGTGTGGCCTATTATGCTAATGAGTTCCTGCTGGGCATGGCCAACTTGGGAGCCAGCCGGAACTCCGTTCCTGTGCGTTCCTGCCCCAAAATAGCCCTGCTTTCCACCACCACCTTCAACCTATATTAGTGCAAAGAGGCAATATTGGGGGGAAGCCGTGGCCTCTGTCCCCTGCTGCTGGCCACTGTGTGAGACAGGATGATGGACTAGATGGACCACTGGCCTAAGCCAGCAAGGCTCTTCTTAAGTTATATAGCTGCCTTTCTAGTTCCTTGTGTAAGTCAGATAAGATAGTTGTTGCAGCACTCCCATAATAATCTCTTAAAATATCTTGCATGCTTGTTGCTGGGGCAGATAGCAGTGTGATAATACAGGCAGAAGAAATGGTGCAAGGAATGTGGGTCAAATACCTCCTCCGCCAGCACAACTTCCCTGACCCAGTTTGCTCTCCTTGCCCCTCATCTCAGCTGCCTAAAATAACCCCTCAAACATGGAAGATGCTAATCTTGGGTCTCCTGTGTTATGTGAAATTTGGTTCCCCATTCACATTTTAGTATCCTAGAGTGTTTTGTTTTGCCTTTTTGCTGTAGACTAGTTTAAAATGGATGCTAAAATTATGCCTTGCATGACAGGTTGTAATTCTGCTGCAAAGCTCCAGTGACATTAACAAAGTGTAAGCGCCTATGGTCAATGCACAGATTCAATGGCTTTCTGGCTCGGTGATTTTATATAACATACTATTGGGCGAGCCTAACTCCCCTGAGGAAAAATGCATTAATGTCAAATTAGTCTTACACATAGCAGTCCACTGACTCCATAATCATAGTGAGATCCTGTCATTTAAACAGCTGTTCCTGTCACTTTAACCTATAAAATATTATTAATAACAAACACTGATACATCATAAGACATTTGCATACCTTCTGTGTTCCCATTTCATTTAAATGTCCATTTTGCACACTCCATGCTCTGTGTTTGCCTTAAACCATATAAAATATTTTCAAACCCCAAATAAATAAAAAAACCCACATTTTAAAAAAGGTGCCAGGCATTCTTCAATTGGTACTGCAGTGATGGGGAGAAGAGCAGCTTGAGGCCTCTTTAAGGAATAGGCGTGTCATGTCTCAGAATATGGTCACCCTACAATTCACCCCCCCCCCACACACACACATACCATTTCCTGAATGAGTTAAGACAATGGTACAGAGGAAGCTGCGGTGGCTCAAGTGGTTAAGACGCTGAACTGCAGGCTGTGGAAGGTTGGTAGTTCAGCAGTTCGAGACCCGAGTGTGCCGCATGATGGATGAGCTCCCGTCTCTAGTTCCAGCTCCTGCCAACCTAGCAGTTCGAAAGCAAGAAATTGCAAGTAGATAAATAGGTACCACTTTGGAGGGAAGGTAACAGCGTTCCGTGCGCCTTGGCGTTTAGTCATGCTGGCCACATGACCACGGAAACGTCTTCGGACAGCTTCGGCTTTGAAATGGAGATGAGCACCGCAACCCTAGAGTCGGATTCGACTGGCTTTCGAGCAAGGGAACCTTTACCTTTACTTACAGAGGAAGGAAATGAAATGAAAGAGAGCCAGTTTGGTGTAGTGGTTAGGAGTGTGGACTCTAATCTGGGGCTGATTCCGCACAATCGCTTGCCCTGGTGTCATCTCCCGAAAATATTCATGGGAAGTGATCATTTCCCCACATGTTGGTGCGGGGTCAGCATTTGACCCGAATCCAATGGCGTTTCCCCCCGGATTTTCCCTCCCCGCCATCTTCAGGATTTTTTTGGACTACGGGGTTGGAGTTGTGGTATTCTAGTGGGGAACTCACGATTCACGGCTGTCTTCTCTCCACCCCTTTGCTTCTTTTCCTCCCCTTCGCGCCTCTCCTCTGTCCACCTTCCCACCTCTCTTCAGTTTTTTGCTGCTGCATCCCCCCCTCCTCGGACTGCGTGTATTTTTTGTTTTTTCCCCTGTGTTGCATTTTAACACAATAATTAGCTAGCGTTAACTGGCGTTTAAATGTCCTCCTTTGTGTAGTCATTGCTCACATTCATTGTTTTATTTTTTTATTCTTTGTCTGCACGAGGAGGAAGACTGCAGATCACAGAGATACTTTCTTCTCCATGGAGATCTTTTCATAAATGCAAAGAGCACATTGAGGGAGGAAGTCAGGCAGGGACAGGATAACCCCTAGAGCTCTCATTCGCCTAGGGGACATGATGGCAGTGAAGATGGTTGGGGGCACCTATCTTCAGTGGAGTTCCCTCTTTTCATGGGCACTGAGGTTCAAAAAAATTAAAGGGACCAATCATAGACCCATTGTGTTACAATGCAACCACGCATGCGCAAACCACACATGCATAAAGCATGGCTGTTTTGCGCAATGGTGGGTAGGTGCATTGCAACGCAACCATGCATGTATAAAACACAACTGGTGGGTGCGTTACAATGCAACCATGCCTCTGATTTTAAAATAAATCGGGGAGCGGAGGGGAGGGGACCTAGATGTGGGGAAAGGCAAAATGCAGAAATGCAGACCTGGGCCAAACCCAGGCCAGACTTCCACAATGCAGAATTCCCCCATCAGGATCGAGCCAATTATACTCGCAGGGAATGGAGAGCAAACCATTAGTGCGGAATCAGCCTGGGAGAAACGGGTTTAATTCCCCACTCTTCCACATTCAGCAGCTGGTGTGACCTTGGGTCAGTTACAAGTTCTTTCAGGGCTGTTCTCTCATGAGCAGTTCTCAAAAGAGCTCTCTCAGCCCACCTACCTAACAGGGTGTCTGTTGTGGGGAGGGGAAGGGAAGGGATTGCAAGCCACTCTGAGACTCCTTCGGGTAGTAAAGGGTGGGGTATAAATCCAATCTCCTCTTCTTCTTCTTCTTTCCCACAGTGCCTCAGCCCAAGCCATACTCTTATCACAACAGTAGCTTTTATACCTTTTAAAAACTGTGGAAGAACTGACCATGTACCTCTCACCATTTTTGTCCTGAGATACTGGTCAACTGCTGTCAGTCAGAATAGACAAAACTGGGACAGCTGAACTAATGGTCTTGGTGAATCTCTGTTTAGGTGGATGAGCCTTAAATCCTCAGATTCACACGCTCTGTCCTCCCTCTGCCTTTTCCCTCCCCTCACATGTGGAGCCACAACTGAAGAATTCCTTTTTAAAGAAGTGTTTGTATTTTGATGGCTGGATTTGTTGCCTTAACAAACTGAGGTTTGTGTCCTTCCCAGGAATAAGCCTTGGTTTAGAATCCCAGTTTGTGTTCAAGAGACACACTTCAGTTTTTTTAAGGCACTCAGATTTGGATTGCTTTATTAAAGCATTTATATCCCATGTTTCCTCTTATTCAAGGCAGCTTGTCACACTCAACTGCAATTAGATCAGAGAATTCCTTGACCAAGAGTAGGTGGTCTGGAGAGGCAGCACAAACGTCTCATGAATGAATGAATGAATGAATGAATGAATGAATGAATGAATGAATGAATGAAGTCTTCAGTTGTGGCTCCACACACAAGGGGAGGGAAGAAGTGTTGAGGACTTGGAGACCCATTCAGATCATGAACAGAAGTCTCAGTGTTCATATCGTGTTGCAGGGCTTTTTTTGTAGAAAAAGCCCAGCAGGAACTCATTAGCATAATAGGCCACACCTAACAGCAGAAATTCATTTGCTTATTAGGACACACCCCTGACAGCACAGCTCATTAGCATATTAGGCCACACACCCCATGTTCGCAGAAGTTTGGTCATCCAGCCACTCCCACCTTTTGCTTCTTATTCTGTTTACCTTGTTTGTTGTCAAAACCCAGGACTTTTTTATAGCAGGAACTCCTTTGCATGTTAGGCCACACACCCCTAATGTAGCCAGTCCTAATGAGTTTCTGCTGTTGGGTGTGGCCTATTATGCTAATGAGTTCCTGCTGGGTGTGGCCGACTCGGGAGCCAGCCGGAACTCCGTTCCTGTGCGTTCCTGCCCAAAAATAGCCCTGTCGTGTTGAGTATTGATTTGCCGAATCCTTAACTAGGACGTTGAAAATCATTCAGATCTGAAGTAGTGGAATGTGCTGAAGAATTCCTACACACACAGAGAGAGAGAGAGAGAGAGAGAGAGAGAGAAAGAGAGAGAGAGAGAGATTGATTTCAGTCTGTAATAGCTTTCTTGAACTTTCTTGAGAAAACGCCATACAAGGAAACTGGGCAGATTTAAATACTGAACAAAGATGTGGTTATCTCAGGACTGAATCACATCCTATTGGGGGATAACTTGCTTAACAACATTCCTAACATCAAAATCTGCTAGCACACGTAAAGGTGGCACCCCAAACCATCACCAACTCCAAGCCAAAATGTTATGTGGGACTTGACATTCAGTACTGAAATTCAAGATGACTGCAAGCTGACCATTTCAATTCCATGAGTTCGGATTTAGAAAATTCACTACCTGTCTAGTGTGCACAAATATTTCTTTCCTCTCTACCAGATAATGTTTATGGTAACTTTGCACTGCAGTTCTTCTTGCACTTCCATACAAGACTCCTGAATGGAAAGGTACCATAGAACAGCTTAAAGTAACTCACTTCAGTATTACTGTTTCTTTGATTTTTAGGACAGAAGGGGGTGTTTCGAAAGGTGCCACCGTTGGTGTTCTTCTGGACCTTAACAAACACACCCTAACCTTTTACATAAATGGGCAGCAGCAGGGACCTCCAGCATTTGAAAACGTGGAGGGCGTCTTCATGCCTGCGTTAAGTCTCAACCGAAATGTTCAGGTAAAATTATTGTCCAGTAGACCTACTTGTAGAAAGCAAGTTACAATAAAAAAAAAAACAGCAGACAATGGCAGTCCAGTTTTCTTTCTGTAGTCAAAGGAAATGCATCTTCACACAATGCATAATTGTCTTATAGCTAAATCGGCTTTAAAAGGGGATGAGACAAATTAATGGCACATACATTTATCAATGGTTATTAGTCACAATTGCTAAAATGAAGCTTTCATATTCAGCGGCAGTATGCCAAGGAATACTATTTACTGGGGGCAAATAATTAGGGTGTGCTCTTGATTTTGTGTCTGGCTTGTGGGTTGCCTGGACTGGCTGCCATAAAAAATAGGAGGCTGGGTTGGATGGTTCTTTGGTCCGATCAAGCACAAGTATTCTTACATTCCAATGGCTTGCCTGGGGGGACGAGACATGATTCATTGGCAGAACATCTGCTTGGCATGCAGAATTTCCCAGGTTCAATCCCTGGCATCTCGGACTAACAAAGATCAAGCAGTAGGCATTATGAAAGACCTTCACCTGAGACTTGGGAGAGCTGCTTGGTCAGTGGCCTCATTCAGTATAAGACTGCTTCATGTGTCCATAACTCTTTTAGGCTTGAGGCTGAGGAGGGTTGCCCCCTATCAGTACTTTTTGTTTTGCTGAGGAATAGACTTTTCAGAGACCAGACAATTTATTCTAATGTTTCCCTTTATGGAAATGGAACTGTCCTCCTAGATAACGCTATGGAGGTTTTCTTTTTAGGACTTATGCATAGTTCTTTTAGTTTTTCCTGTGAAGGTTTCGAGGTATCTCCTTTTAGTATTCCCCTGGAAATATAACACATCCAAGTCTAAGAAGCTGCCTCAAGAAAGATTAATATTTTACCTGTTGTTTGGACAAAATGTTCTGCTTTGTTGAAAGGATGACAAGAGACTGGAAAACCAAAATGGATAACTATTCAGTTTAGCTTTCCTGCAGATTAACATATTTTAGCTCTGCTTGGATGACTCTAGTACATGAAACTGAGAAGGGGTGTTGGAGTATGTGCAAGTTCTCTCCCTGATGTCATGAAAGAGTTAACCTGTTCATTTGTCTATGCTAATTGTTGGTTAGTTAGGACCTATGGGGCAGCAAGTAGAAGTTCCCATGTTAGAAGGGCTTAGTTCTTGTGGCCTTTTCTTACATGCCCAGGGAAATGCTGATTGCCACTTTGGGGTCAGGAAGCTACTTTTCTCCAGGCCAGTCTGGCTGGAGATTCTGGAGGTTTTTTGTCATCTCCTGGATGTGGAACAGCGGTCACTGGGTTTGTGGGGGGGAGGTATTTGTGAATTTCTTGCATTGTGCAGGGGGTTGGACTAGATGACCCTGGAGGTCCCTTCCAACTCTGTGATTCTATGATTCTAAGGGGAAGGCTCTATGCATAATTAACTGACCTTTAGCCTGGTCACTGGTTGGTTTGTAATTGGGAGATGTTGCCTAAGTTTTGTCATGTAGGCATTTTAGGTTTCCTTCTCCCTTCCTTTGTTCTGAGATCAAATGAGAGCATCGATCTTGGTACTAACAGTAGCTGGGAAGATGTAGTGTAGTCAGCTAGACTGGTTATTGTTTTGTTCCTTCATGTAACCCTCCCTAATACCTTAGTAAACTTTTCTTTTAGCTAATTCACATGCGTCTGCTGCCTTATTATTTTTATGTGCCAACAGAGGCAACAACACCTCCAAACAAATTTCTCAGCATGAGATAGAATGTTTCCCTTAACAGGAAGTGTAAGATCTTGTCTTGCTCCTGAAGCTGTTGAAATACTCTTCTCCTTTAAGAAGGACCAAGGGCCGCGGTGGCTCAGAGATTAAGATGCTCAGCTGCAGACTGGAAGGTCTGTAATTCAGCAGTCCAACACCTTAGTGCCGCATGACAGAGTGAGCTCCCATCTCTGGCCCCAGCTCCTGCCAACCTAGCAGTTCGAAAGCAAGAAATTGCAAGTAGATAAATAGGTAGCGTTTTGGTGGGAAGGTAACAACATTCCATGTGCCTCGGCGTTTAGTCATGCTGGCCACATGACCACAGAAACGTCTTCGGACAGCGCTGGCTTTTCGGCTTGAAAAAGGAGATGAGCACCGCCTCCTAGAGTCGGATTCGACTAGCTTTCAAGCAAGGGAAACCTTTACCTTTTAGTACTATAAAACCTGTGGGGCTGCTGTGGATTCCCTGTTTTGATTCTACATCCTTGTTCCTTTTTCCTCCCTTGCAGGTGACTCTCCACACAGGACTTGACGTACCCCAGACTGTAAGACCTCCCAAGTTGCCAAGCAACTGAGCTCCTGCTACCTAAATCTGAGCTGGATTTTATAACCTTTCTAAATATTTGGGCATAAATTGATTTTTTAAAAGATCCTTAGTTTAGATCAAAATTGGTTATTAGATTTAGGTTACTTGTTGATTTCCCCCTCCCCACATACCATTACATTTTTACATGGTTTCAAGAGTGCTTACATCACCGAACCTCCTGTGCATTTCGGCTGTCAGTGTGTGAAATCTGATTAGACGGCTCACATCAGTAAAAGGCTTTTTAAAAAACAAACAAGCAAGTACCCTAAACCTTTTTTTTAAATAGTTTGCTTTTGCTATGTAGCACAAGCCAGAGAAAGTCTATTGACTACAGTTTAACCTTCTCTGGATTAAACCAGTTGTGGTGGGTACACTTTGCTCTAATCTGGTCTTTGGTTGTGACGTGCTGCTGTGGATGATTACATCCCACAGTTTATGGGCTGATGAAACAGAGTATAAAGGATTCCGCCCCAAAGAAGGTGGTCGACGTGTACCCTATCACTCCACTGCACAAAGTTGGAAGACCTCCTGTAGCCCAAGCACCTACATCCAACCGAAGTGGCTCTTTCTCCAGTGGAAGAACCACTTAAGTCGGAGAACAGCTCCTTAGGTTGGAGAAGTGGCTTCGTCCAAAGGTAGGATACACGGCATTTGGACTAACTGACCTGTAGGTTCCTTTCATTCTCCAATCATGGGCACGATAGAATAAGAAACAGAGAAGAGTATGACTCTACTGAGGACAGCCAGTAGCCTAACTCTCACTGATTCCACTGTGAAAAAGCTCTAATTTCTAATAGCAATATTTGCTGCAGTCTCTGAACCATTTATTCCAGAATAGTTCTAGTGACTGCAGGATTGATCACAAATACCCTGCTCCCCAGTGTATGCACCTGTGTATCTGTCTGCAACCTGTGAGTTAGGCTCATACAATGGTGCTATAACTTCATGGCTTGTTAGAGGGAGGGAGTGTAGTAGCTGATATGCCACATTTTAAGCAAATAATTGGCCGGCACAGCAGAACTTTGTAGGTCACCAAAGATCAACTCACTGTAATGAAGCCTTGGAGATACCGAGCAACTGAAGCATACATCTCAAATGTGGTGAATATTAATGTATCCCAAACCTCTTTTTCTGATTCCATGTCCTCTCCTTTTTCACATTTCCCTGCCCCTGAGCCTTCCTGTCATTGTACCAACCCACCACCATCCTTTTATCCCAGTTTGGCAAAATAGTTAATTATGATGCACATTTTCATTAATAGTCTGGTGGTCTGTGCTGATGTGAAGTGCACATGCAAAAAACAAAGCAAAACAAGAAACACCCTTAACCAAACACAGGAAAATATTCCATACAGAAGAATGATAAATTATAACTTGGCCTTGCTCTTCCTAGAAAAAAGCTTTGTGGTACTCACACACTTTCCACAAGGAATTCACTTTCCCACAACTGAACTGAGAAGTAGAGCACTAACTCCCTCCAGTATTTGCTGAAAATGGTAAATGGTGTTTTCCTGGAGGAATCACCCTAAAGGAATGTGCACGGAAGGAAGTACTTCACATTTAAGCATGTGTGCTGTACCAGTGTATCCAACAATACTATTCAGTGTTCAAGTGCACTGATTTGCTTTGTTGGATGGCTCTTAAGCCCTGTTGGGTTATTTAATGGCTTTCCAAGCCTCAAAAGAGTAGCATCCTAAACAGTAAGAAGAATAAATACTGATGAGCAACAGTTGACAGCTGCTGTCATGAGTGGCCAAGTCGGAGTGAGGGTAGGGAGTATCATCAACAATGTGGCAAAGTAAATGAAATGGTTAAATAGGGATTGCCATATTTCAACAACTGTGCTTGCGACTTCCTCTGAGCACATGGGGGAAAGGGTGTGCTTAACTTTAAGGCTATGAGTAAACTTTGAGGTTAAGAACCACTTCTCAGAATTAAGATGGTACCTTGTACAATCAAGCACTTTTGTAACTTCACCGTACCTTCCTGCTTTAGCATTGTTTTACTGTTTCTTCCATGCTTTTGAGATATGCCACACTTTGGAAACACATATATGTGTGCATATATGCAGTCTGTCAGCTGAAAGTTTAAAAAAAAACCCCATATGGGCAGAAGCTTACATGATGTGTCTGATCCTACACTGGGCCATTTCAGGCTTCAGGTGATGGAGACTGAACACTTGAAATACTTGTTATAAAGTGAGCACATCAGCTAAAAGCTAGCCTGGATATGATATCCCTGATATGTTACTTTAGTATTCAAATATTCAATCCTGTATCTGCAGCCCAGCAACAGACACATCACATGGGACTTCTGTTTATATGTTTCCATTCTTATGTATACCTATATGTATGTTTGTGTGCCCAGGAAGTTTGCAAATAACAAATTCAGTTTTCTGTCTTGCACGGCATCTTACCTATTAATGCAGAATGTCTTGGGAATAGTTCAGATATGAAAGGGGAGGCAGACTATTTTTACTTGCAAGACTCATATTACATCTGCATTATTAAAACAAGATGTAATTTCTGAGCATCCAGAGATAATGGAAGTTATCATGGGCTGAGGTTTGTAAGCTCATGGAAATGGAAGCACAATGACAACTTCTGCTTGGGTAGCATGCTGTCTGAATCAGCCTTTCAGAATCATGGCGACTAGGCATGACATTGCATACATAAATTTGCTGACCAGCAAAGCTCACACTACATTCTCCTCTCCAGTCATATGTCTGGTCATTCTTCTTGGTCTGAATATACTCATAATCACAAGTTCAACTGCATGGAAATCTGTGGCACATAATTGTATGTGTTCATTTGGAAACAGAAGCACATGTGATTGCCATGTTTATACCACCAAAGGGACTCAGTGGCTTGTATCCTACTGCTTGATTCCAAAGACTGAAGAGCTGTCTTTGGATGCGGGGGGGGGGGGTTCCTGGTAAGTTCCATTCCCAATGCATACTTTGCCTCCTGTGTGGCTCTCCCAAGGGTCTGGTGGCCCCCGGAAGCAAAATCTCAGAAGGCTCAGTGGGAAGGTCCCACTCCATGAGATCTCCGCATTAAGGTGTTGTTGGATACAAGCCAGTTGTTAGACTTCACACAATGATTTCTAATTGCACAAAGCCATTTCATGTGAATTGGTTGACTGACCATTTCATTTAGAACTTAAACTTACATACGGAAAAAGTGCCGTTACAACAAAGAGTTTGGGGGAAAGGAATTAAAAAAGGCAGCACTGGGATAACCCATGGTGAAGAAATGGGAGGGGGAAATTAACTGATTTAAGAACATGCAATACCTGTGACCTCCCTTTCTTCCAGTCCCTGCTTCCTCCTCTACTCACATAAGAGGCCTACAGATGGTGCTTCCTTTTATACTGAGACTAGCAAAGAGAGAATAGCAGGGATGAAATAAACATTTCCTCTGATAGGTATGCAAGTCAAGGTACTCTCTTTTTATTTATTTATTTTTGAGATTTATACCCTGCCCAGGGTGTCTTACGTCATCATAAAACAATAAAATAGTTCAGTAAAAACATTGCATCATAAAACCCAGGCTCCTACTAGATTACAATTAAAGTTAAATAACTAATTAAAATACCCATTAGCAGCTCGGCCAATGATTTCAGTTCCGATGAATGCTATGCTCATGCCAGGAAACGGCAGCAGATCACTTGGCTATTATTATTAGAGCAATTTAATTTGAAAATGTTCGTATAACTGTGCTGCACTGAAAGTAGCAAAGGACAGTGTTTTGTTTCTTTCCTTTCTTGTTCAACAATTCTCCTCTATTTTTTGTCCAGTTTTGCTTTGTGTTTAAATCCTGTGGGGTCTTCTACAAGCCTACCTCACTTAGCATGTTAACAGACTCTGCTCACTGTGAATTTGCCTCCTGTTAACTTAGAACATGCAGCGATAACTTTGATTTTGGACGTTCTTAACAGGTGCTAGTGATATGGTAGTAATTCCCAAGTAGTGGGTTAACTCATCCATTCCCTTAAGTCATAAGACACGTCTAAGTGTGGGTCACCAGGCAGCCTGGTGGCGGGTGCTGGGAATGTGGTGCAAGTGGCTGACCGTGCAGCATTATACCCTCCTAAGTCCATTGAAGTTAGGATGGCACAGTGAGAACATTTCACTTGTAGTTCAGGTCCAAAGCCAGAGATAAGTTAATGAAATACAGTAGCCCCACTCGTGTGTGTGTCTTATAATGAAGAGTTTAAGATCACCAGTGGATATGACTGCCACATTCAAACTCTGCATTTTTATACAAAAAATGTCCTTAAGACCAGAAAATGTTTCATTAAAACAAGGAGAAAATATAGTTTAAAGTTTTATGAATGAGTTTCTGACTGCTTCAGATGATTCCTTAGCAACTTGTATCCTTGCCATCTCAAAGGGATTTGAAGCCTCTTTTGTGTGCTTACTATACCTCTTCTTTTTTGGTTGTTTCATATTTTTCTTGCTGTATTTTGTTTTTAGTGTTCTGTGTGCTGGTGCTTGCACTAGGACTGAGCAGTGAATGAGGAAGATACAAGTTTAGAAATCAAATGAAACACAAGCAATAGGCCAGGAATTTGTTAGGGTTATGGAGAAACATCAATGTGTTCCCCTCAGGGCCAGCCCGAGGTTTCTTTGTGCCCTAGGTGGGGCTACCTTCTGGCACCCCCCACATGCCCAATTACAGGGTTGTCAACCTCCCAGAGCACGCCCCAGAGAGCCCTTCTCTCCGCCGCTTGCGCATCCTCCCTTTCTCGCCAGGCGAGGAACTGATTTTGGTTGATTTTACTCCCAGGGAGGTCTGTATGGGGTTGTAACTTCCTTGGGACAGTTGGCTTTTGGCTGGGCTTGGACTTGCTGTGCACGGCTGCCCTGCTGCTGGCCACCTGCTGTGGGGGAAGACGGTGGCGCAGCTTGCCTTGGGCCCAGGCGACGACCACCTGCTCTCCTTCACTGCCAGCGGGCTGGTGCTGGGCTGCCTGGCCAGCACGACGT